CCCACCCATTCATTATTGTACTATATTTTCCTTCTCTGTATGCCATATCTATCTCTTTGCTATTCCTAATGACCCTGTGATTGTACAATAGGAGCCTGTAAGCTGAGCTGCATGTGCCTTTTGTGGCAAGGCAACTCTGCTTCTGAGGAGCCCTTTCGTGAAAGAAAAGAAGTGTGGGGGAATGATCAGGGGGTCAAATATGGCAGTGTTTAGCCTTCCTTTCATCTGAGAACAGCTCTGATCCAGAAATGATGTGGCTCTACCCTGAATGTGAGTAGCACCTTATTTCCCAGAGGCCCATTTATAGAAGACCCAGAGACAGGTAATGCCAGTTCTGGCAGGCTGTGCATTGAAAAGTGCAGCATGAAGGGTACATTTGGTACAGCTCTCTGGGAAGAGTTGATATGCAGTAACCCTTCAGCTAGGCACTTGCCGGTAGTAACATCTTGATGCCTCAGATAAATATTTCCATTAAGGTTCATAGAATCATAAAGAGAATCAGAGAGAAGCAGGGCAGGCTTATTTGATGCACAGAGAAAAACATGGGCAGAGGCCTACTGTACATCAACTGATTCTGAGGGAAAAGAAAAGTGAAAACAGGGATGGGACTAAGAGTCAAAGATGAATAAGTGGTCCAAGGGGGGACACCAAGTAGAGCATACCAGCCAATGCCTACTGGCTCCTTGGACTCATTCGAGAGCCAGTGGACACTGCCCAGTGAAACTGCCCCAAAATGTGAATGGCTGAGGGACAATACAAATGCATATTGGGTTAACATGGGCCTGATGCCCAGAGAGCAACAGTTAGCACCCCGTGTTATGGGGGTAGGGTGGCTAGGGTCTATATCAGTTGATTTTGGAGGACAACTAAAGAGAAAGCAGGGACAGGAGCGAGGTCACAGGTTCAAAGCACGTGCCCCAAGGGAGGACACTGAGCAGAGCACCCCGGCCAGCGCCCCGTGGTTCTCAAACGAATCCAAGGAGCTGGTGGACACTGCCCAGAGAAACTCTGCCCAGAGATTTTATTAATTTATTTTTCTAAAGCAAAATAAAAATAAAAATTTGGCTTCGTATTCCAAGCCAAATCAAGTGGCCCTACAGCTGGCAAACATCCTCCACCCCCGCCCCCACCAGGGGCTTCAGATATTTCCAAAGTCTTTTGGCCGGCATCCTACGTGCAGGCCCAAGCCCAGAGGCTCAGGGTTCGGATGCCCCTGAGTTTCGCCTGCCCTCAGCCGTATGGCCACAGAAGCAAGCTAGGGAAGAGCCTCCCGTTTCCATAAGGTGGGCTTCAAGCCTCGGCACCTCGGGGGTTACTGAACTGCGCCAGAAGCGACGTGATCCCCAGGAGCGCTTAAGGAAAACTGCCTTCGTGGACCCAGATACGTGGTGTTTCCCTGCCCAGAGGTGTGGAGGGCTGAGGGCCAGGACTAGGTCACTACGGATCAGCTCCGGTACAGCCTCCTTGCCGGTCAGGTGTATCGCTAGCTCGGCCGGGGCGGGGGGAGGTTGACCCCGAGGTCTCTGGCCAGGGAGGGCCCCCGCTGCGCGTCAACGAAAAGGCGCAGGGAGCAGCTCATCCTCGTGAGGCGGCGGCGGACTAAAGCCTGGCACACTCCAGACGGGCCCGTCACAGCCCCCGCTGCTGCCCGCAGGGCCAGTGTCGGGGGTGCCCTGTGGGTGCAGGCCCTGACCCTGACCCTGGCCTGGGCAGGGCTCCCGCTGTCACCTGTCAGCACACAGCCGGGCCGGGCGAGGCGGGCGACCGTGCGGCTCCTCCCCGCCAGCGGG